CTTTTAAAGATTAATATTTTCTCAGACTGCCTATCGCTAAATTATCTTCAGTCTGATTATCATTAATAGAGTCCAGGCAAAATGTTGACATTCATATAAAAGAAATTCTTAGACATGTATCTATTTTTCTGTCCATACTGCCATTGCTACTATCTTCTCTTATTTGGAGAGTTACAAAGAAACCATGAAGGTCCTATAATGAGACTCAACCCCTTCCTATAACCCTTTCTAATAGACATATGCTTATCCATCAAGGTACTTTTTCTTATAAACTCTGATCAAATTTTTGCTTAAAGCAGTATTCTGGGTAACCAATACATCAACTGGAGTTGGCTGGAAATGAACTTTGTCATTTTACTATGGGTCTGCTTATATGTTCCATAGGCTCAACTTATGCTATGCTTGACTTCTCTAATAATCCCTCTTGGTATTCAGCTTTCTGTCTGGCCTTTTGTGTGGTTGTCTGCCTAAAAGAATGTCCTCACACCTGACAGTCAGGGATAGAGCCAGAGACAAGAGTGCAGACTAATTGCACTGGGTTTTTCTACCAGATACCATGGACATTTCCCGAGAGAGAGAGAGTAATAGAGGTTATTAAAACAATAGAACACATCTTTAAAATACCAAGTTCCTTTTGTTTTTTCCTCAGAGAATTGAAAAAAAACCCAACAGACTTCTTCTTACATGTTTTCTGGTCAGATAAATGCCTTTTCAGCTGACCCAGGTTCAATCCTTGACACTCTATATGGTCCATGGACCATGCTAATGGACTAAATGAATTGATGGAAATTGATATTTTTAAGGCTTTCCATTGAGGATCACACCAAATTATAATAGATGAGAAGATGATTTCAAATCATAAAATAAAAATAAGTTCCTGAATCAGTGATTTTCTTCATAACCGTACTGTGTTTGATCCTGCCGTGCCAATTATTTGCTTTCTCTCAGTGGCTCCAGATAATAGATTAATTACATTTCCAGATGTACCTTTGGTTTATCAGTCTGACAATCAAATTGTCTCCCGATTTGATTTCCCACCTTAGCCTCTCCGTTTAACAAAAATAATCAATTCCCTTCTTTTAATAAATATTTATTGAAGATCAAATCTATAAATGATACTGGCTAAATATACATTTGGGGCTTTGTGATATGTAGAACTTAGTTTTGACTAAGGGAAATTCTGCTGTCTAGATTATTACTCTTATCTAGTGATATACTTTCCTAATAAACTGCAGGCTTAATTTATTGTTGTAAAAATTTTTGAGCACTTCAAAGTATAATGAAGGTAATAGAATGTTAATTTATTTTGAAACTATGAGGTTTTACTATGTAGAACTATTATTTGAATATTATTAACCTAACACCAGTTACTGACACAAAAATAAAGAAAAATGAGCTAAATTTATATTGTTCTAACAACTCATGATTTTAAAAAAATCCCTATATTCTTAATATCATGCTTTCTTGCAATTTTCCTTTTCTAGACAAATCTAACTACTCTCACAGCAGAATTTGTTCTTTACTAAGAGAAATAACTTGCAGAAATTGATTAAACTTATTAAACTAGCAATCTTATATAAATACTTGAAGTCACCACAGATGGATCATTTTTGTCATGTCTCTTATTTTTAATGTATTTCCCTGATTCTCTCTAGAAATATTGTTTTTACTGTACAACTAACACAAATTCATTCCACTATGCATGAATTCTGCCATTAGCCCATATTGTAAGTTTTCGAGAACATCCAGAACTTGAATTTAGTTCAAAGAAAATACCAGAAAAACTGGATATCCAGAGAATAAATGCTTTCTTGAGAGTACAAAAATTTTCCATCAGCCCTATTGATAGATGAGGCTTAGGCATAAGGGAAGGCAGGAATCACAAGAATTTTGCTGATAAAGGTGCAAATGATGACATTGTCGCCTTATGGAATTAGTTGCACAAAACCAACAGACTGATATTGAAGAAATGAATAGATAGCATCTTAAAATAGGTAATTTTTTATATGTCATAATTTTTCTGCTTCAGTCTTTAATAGAAAATTTAAGAAATAAAAACTTGGTGGTGGAGATTTGGGGTGATTTGGCCATACCCTGCTTCTGGGTTTACTCCTGCTTCTGCACTCAGGAATTACTCCTGCTCAGGTGCCCTATGGGATGCTGAGGATTGAACCCAGGTGCGTGGCAAAAAAAGGCAAATGCCCTATTTGCTGTACTATGGCTCAGGCCCCTGGAAAGAAAGACTTTTTAAAAAAAATTTTTTTTATTAGTGAGACATATGAGGTACAGTTGTAGACTTACAAATTTTTGTGCTTGGGTTTCAATTATACAATGATCAAACGCCCATCCCTCCACCAGTGCCCATTTCCCACCACCACGGATCCCAGTATCCCTCCCACCCCCCATCCCCCCTATCCCCCCCCTGCCTCTGTGGCAGGGCATTCCCTTTTGTTCTCTCTCTCTTATTGGGTGTTGTGGTTTGCAAAAGAGGCAATGGGTGACAATAATGTTTGGTCTATAGTCTACTTTCAGCATGCTAGGAAAGAAAGACTTTTAAGAAAGAAAAATTGGGGACAGAGAGGAAGCTCTGTGAGTTGAGCTCGTGCGTTGCAGTTGGGCAAGAGTAGGATTTATTCCCTAATCTCATGGCTCCAAAAGGACCCGAGGACTCCTGAGCACAATCACCCCCACCCAGTTGTGGTCCCCATTAACCAAAGCAAAATGTAACTGAGGATATGCTAGATTGTTAGATTTCTTACAGGCAGGGAGTTAGTGAAAAGTGAGAATAGCACCAAAAAACTCATTTTGTTCATCTCTGACAATTAAATCTTCCTAAGAATGGACTGAATCCTCTTGTGATGACAACACAGGGGACACTTTTGGATTTATTTGTCCTCACTCCCAGACCAGAGTTGTTTTTTTGGTGGGCATTAAAGTGGGGGTAGGGGGGGTCCTGACTACATTCCAGTATAGAAATCAGTTTGAACAACTGAATTGTTCAAACTGGAGTCTGAATCATGGAACCTGTCATCCATAATCTCCCATAGAATACTGACAATACAGCAAACGAGTATAGCAATAACAACAACAAAAGAGACATTACACACTTTTCGATGGATTTTTATTTATAGCAACACTTTGCCCTTAGAATGGTAGACAATACTGACTTGCTGAATTAGATGACAGCAGGTATGATAAATTTCCGCCCCCCCATTTCCTAGCACACATCAGGTTTCAGGGCTTACATATCCAGTTGTGGTGTTTGCAGGATTGGGGTGAAACTCTTGGTACCATGCCTGTGGCACTCTACCACGGAGCTAACAGCGTTCCCATAAACTTTAAAACCAAAAAGACACCGTTAGCAGTGAGTTAAAAATACCTTCCGAAGTCCAGACGCTGTCACTGTGCTGTCAGAAGTGTCAAATTTTTAAGAGCTGGTATTCACAAAACTATTGATAGATGAGTCTTCGGCATACAACATCCCAACACCAATCCCACCACCAATGTTAAACTTCCCTCCACCCGAGTTCCCAGCCCCACCACTTAGAACCGCAACACTCACCGCCCCCCACCCCGCACCTGCCACCTTGACAGGAACATTTCAGAGATCTGTGCCTGCAGTTTTTAGATCTCAGGATCTGTGTGACCGAGTCTGTGCTTCGGCTCCACAGCAATACCCTTCTCCCACAAAACGTCATGTGCTCGGTGGGACACGGGCAGTCAGTCACAGGACTCCGGGTTCTGTAAGGATACTACCATCGGGGTAGCTGCGACTTTCTCAAAGGGGCGACACCCGTGATCTGAGACCCTCCCAATCAAGCAGACACCAGAAGACAAGTGTGTGTGTGTGTGTGTGTGTGTGTGTGTGTGTGTCTGTCGGGGGGGGGGGGGCGAGAGGCGAGCACCCCGGACTCAGAGGCGCTCGCGCAGTCGGGGGACCCCCAAGCAGACACCAGAAGACAAGTGTGTGTGTGTGTGTGTGTGTGTGTGTCTGGGGAGGGACCAGAGGCGAGCACCCCGGCACTCTCTGAGGCGACTGAGGCGCTCGCGCATTCGGGGGACACCCAAGCAGACACCAGAAGGCGTGTGTGTGTGTGTGTGTGTGTTGTGTGTGTGTCTGGGGGATGGGGGGGCGAGAGGCGAGGCGCTCCCGCAGTCGGGGGACCCCCAAGCAGACACCAGAAGTGTGTGTGTGTGTGTGTGTGTGTGTGTCTGGGGGGGGGGGCGAGAGGCGAGCACCCCGGACTCAGAGGCGCTCGCGCGGTCGGGGGACACCCAAGCGGACACCAGAAGACAAGTGTGTGTGTGTGTGTGTGTGTGTGTGTGTGTGTGTGTGTCTGGTGGGGGGGACGAGAGGCGAGCACCCCGGCACTCTCTGAGGCGACTCAGAGGCGCTCGCGCATTCGGGGGACACCCAAGCAGACACCAGAAGGCGTGTGTGTGTGTGTGTGTGTGTTGTGTGTGTGTCTGGGGGATGGGGGGGCGAGAGGCGAGGCGCTCGCGCAGTCAGGGGACCCCCAAGCGGACACCAGAAGACAAGTGTGTGTGTGTGTGTGTGTGTTGTGTGTGTGTGTGTGTCTGGTGGGGGGGGGGGCGAGAGGCGAGCACCCCGGACTCAGAGGCGCTCGCGCAGTCGGGGGACCCCCAAGCGGACACCAGAAGACAAGTGTGTGTGTGTGTGTGTGTTGTGTGTGTGTCTGGGGGATGGGGGGGCGAGAGGCGAGGCGCTCGCGCAGTCGGGGGACACCCGGGGTGCAGCTGTTTCTTCCGGCGCCCGCGGGGCCGAAAAGCAGCGGGGAGCAGCCCCCGGCGGCCACCTCTCCCCGCGCCCCGCGCGCCCCCCACCCGCAGCGCGCCCGGCCCGGGCTGCGGAGAGGCGCCCTCTGGCGCGGCGCGCCTCTGCCGCCACTTCTCGCGAGGTTTCGGCGCCCCCCCCCCCGCTCCCCCCGTCCCCACGGCTCCCCCCTCCCCCCTTCCCGCCCCCCCCCCCCCGCCCCGGGAGCGCGGGCGCCGGCAGCTCCCGCTATGGCTGCGCTGCGGAGGCTCCTGTGGCCGCCGCCTCGGCTCCCCGGCCCCGGGCCGTGGGGGCGGCCCGCGGGGGTAGCCCCGGCGGGCCCGGGCCGGCCCTTCTCCTGCCGGGAGGACGAGGAGGGCGCCGGGGCGGCGGCGGGCTGGAGGCGGCGGCGGCGCTGGGGGGAGCTGAGCATCGCGGCGGCCGCCGGCGGGAGTCTGGTGGGCCTCCTGTGCTACCACCTGTACGGCGACCCCCGGGCGGACCCCGCGAGGGCGCCGGCCCCGGGGCGCGCCGGCGAGCGCGCGGCGGCCGAGCCCGAAGACCCGCCCCGCGGCCGGGGGCTGCTTCCCATCCCGGTGGCGGCTGCCAAGGAAACGGTAGGTCCGAGTGCGCGTGCGCGCGCCGGGGCCTCCCGCAGGTGACGCCCGAGGGGAGGGCCGCCAGGTGCAGCACCTGAGCGCCGGGAGCGCCTCCCCACGGCGGTGCTCGGCGTTCCGGGGCCACGGGGCACCCCGCCGTGCCAGCCGTCTTTGCGGCGGTGGGTGCCGACCCCTGTTAAGTCAGAGCTGAACCTCCTAGGCCTGAGAGTGCCGGGTTCCCTCTGCCCCTGGGTGTGCAGATGACGCCGAAGATGCTGTCAGTGATGCATCCGGGCGTTGGGGGCTGCTACAGCTACCGCCTGTCAACCAGAACCCCAAAGCAAAAAACACAACAGCAACAACAGTTCAGCCGAGTCCAGGGTATGACTCGCCCAAAGTGGAAGGCTGCATGCATGTCTGAGACCAGGGGATCTCCAGCATGGGCTGCAGGAGAGCAAACGAGAGAACCAAGGTTGAGTTTTTGAAGCTGCAGTTCGAGGGCTTAGAATTAAGCACGTTCCGCTGTACGGAAGTCTCAAGAGGGGAAGTGTGGATATTATGTAATTTCTAGCCAGGGCAGAAGGAGTGCAAATGTCACCAAATTGGAAAAGAAATTATATTATATATATATATATATATATATATATAATTCCCCACCGTAATTCCACCCTATAACAGCAAAAATCTCTTAAGGAAACGTATTACAAGTTGTAGCGCTTAGTACAATCTACTAGCCTCTACTAGCTGGGGCATTTGCCTTAGACGTGCCTGACCTGGTTCAAGCCCCAGCACCGATTGTGATCCCTGAGACCTACCAGAAGTGATCCCTGCAGAGCCAGAAGTAAGCCCCGAGCACCGCCAGATGTTGCCCAGAACCCAAAAAGGAAAAAGAAAAACGACCGGGAATGGGAACTAGTAGCACCAAGGGCGTGTGTGCTTCTCTCGGTGCAGGGGCCAAGTCTGATCTCCAGCACTTTGGGGAGAGAGAGGTCCCTGAGCAGAGCCAGGTGTGCCTCCCTACCCCACCCCTATGACAACGAAACTGAAGGAGCGATTGGACAGCTCCTGGTGAAAGCTGTGAATGTAGCCAGCTTCTACAGAGCAACGTCAAATGGAATTGTTCAGGTGTGGTTATGTGGCTGATAAGGCAAGGTCTTGAAAAGTGTGTAAGTCAAGGGTGAGTGAAGGGACACAGGTTTCTGCTTATCAGCATGTTTAAGAGGCATATATATGGCCAGGAAATCACCCAGAGAAATTGTGCAAGAGCAGCAGAATGGGCAGGGTTTAGAGAACAGTTTAAAAAACCGCACTGCAGTTCTGTTTTTAACCACCCCACCTCACTGCCGGTGGGAGGGGATAAGGTTGATCCTGCACCAAGGATCATGCCTGGCAGTGCTCAGAGACCTTGGTGTTGGGGATCCAACTGGGTCTAGCACATACAAAACAAATGCCATGCCCTCTGTACTTCCTCTCTGGCATTAATGAAATTTAATAAACTTTAATGAAATTACATGCCATTTATTCTTTGTCTTCATGTAATGCCTTAGTTATTTTGGTGGAGGTACCGTTTAGTTCCAAGAAGTCAACTTCATGGTCCTTCAGGTTGCCCTTCATGGAGAATTACGGGAGTAAATGAGACGATCATTTCAGCAGATTGGTATCCATGTAGGGAACATTAAGTAAATTTATTTTAAAGAACTTCTTAATTTTAGTCATTTAACTATCAGTTAGTTTACTATTGCTCATGACCATTTCTTTTCCTTATTTTAGGTGTCAGATCATAGTATTATCCATTAAAGTTGTATCTTACGTTCCCCTGGTTACAGTCATTCATTTTGGTTGTCAAAAACTTTTTTTTTTGCTTTTTGGGAGACACCCAGCGAGGCTCAGGTGTTACTCCTGGCTCTGCACTCAGGAATTAACTCCTGGTGGTGCTTGGAGGACCATATGGAATGCCAGGGATCGAAAGGGATCGAACCCAGGTCAACTGGTGCAAGGCAAACACCCTATCCACTATACTATTACTCTGGCCCAAAACGTTTGCTTTAGGCATTTTCCTCACTGAAAATGTTAAGCCTCTTTTATTCACAGTGTTTGAAAATTCATAAACACATATTTTAGTACAGGCATTTTATTATTTTTTGTTCCAGATATTTGTAGACCCTTTCAGGATGAGAATTTTGTCCAAACATTCTGTATCTATTTCATAATTGCTTTGGAGTATTTTTTCACATGTCTATGGTTTTTTCCTTTTTATTCAGTTTTCATTTAGGCACTGTAATTTTCAGTGCTGCTAATAAGAGTTTTCGGGCATACAGTCTTCCTATACCCACCACCAGAAGAATCTCAGTGTCCCTCTGCTAATGTCTCAATATTCCATCTCACGTCTATCCCTTCCCTTTGCAGATTCTTTCTATAATCTGTTATGTTGTTATTTTCTTTCTCTCTCTTTTTTTAATTTGCTTTTTGGGCCACATGAAGCAATGCTGAGGGCTGACTCCTGACTCTGCACTCCGGGCTCAACTCCTGGTGGGCTTGGGGACCATCCAGATTGCCAGGGATTGAACCCCAGTCTGCTAGATGCAAGGCAACCACCCTAATTGCTGTACTATATCTCTCTGGCCCAATTTCTTACCTATGTTTATGAGCCACTCAAAAAGCTTTATTTTTCATGTGGTTTTAAGGGAATTCCATAGAAAGGCACCCAAATTGTATTATTTCCTTATTCTATAGCTCAATCTCAATTGAGCTCCACCAAAGAACGGGAGCAGTGGAAGGAGAAGTCACCTGGATGCAGGCACACATGCGTATGTGTGAGCTGGAGGAGTAGCCAGTGATGGACTTTCCTGCTTTATTTAAGCCTCTAATTTCAGCTCCACAACTTATTGTTTCAGCAGCGTCTTTTTTCCTATTGCTTTAGGCTTCCCAGGGCCTGTATAGTAATCAATTAATTAACAGATTAACTAATTTCTATTAAGTCTTTTCCTCTACTAGAACCAGGTAGTGTCTTTTTCTTGTGTCAGTTTTTCCTTGATCCCTTCAATTTTATAAAACTTTGAGGAATTCTCTAGAATGCTTTGGTTTGGTTACTTCTTTCTCTTTATTATATCTTGAAAGTTATACCTTCAAAATTTTATTGTGATTTTAATTTGGGGGGAGGAGAAATTGAAAGAAACTTATGGACATGATCTTGACTTCACAGTGGACTGAGCACATGCTTTCTCAGAGGCCCAGGATTCAGCAGCCAGCACCACATGGTCCCTGAGGTGTAGACCAAAAGTAAAAAAGAAAAAAGAAAGAACCTTGCGGTGTTTGGTTATAGTTTTTCAGAAATACTTGTTCTTGTTGTTGGCTTAGTGAATTTTGGTTATATCTTTACTTTTATACATTGAAATACTGTGGTTTATTCTGCTTTTTCAGTGGTTTTCTTATTGATTGTTTATTGGTGGGGAGAGGGGGAGACCTATGCATTTGGTTATGTCCATGTCTTAACATTTTTCTCCTTTAATGGGGATTTCTGGGAATTGAACCCAAGTTCCCCTATATGTAGTACATATCCTGGACCTGGACCTCTGGGACACATCCCAACATATTGCATTTTCTTAACTGTTAATATATCGCATCCATTACTTCTAATTTCCCTCCCATCTGTCTATGTTGAAGGATAGAATTGGACTTTAAATTAAATGAAATCAGGGTAGTAGATATGCATGACGCACACCTGGAACATATACAGTTATAATGCACTAGTGCTTTAGTTGAAAAGAGAAAAGAATAGCAATAGAAATATTTAAAATCTCTCTTGCTGCTTCATTTATTGTGCTTATTTGCTTTTCCTGAGATAAGAAAAATATTTTGATGTTTTCAACTACAACAGGAACCCAGATTTTATGAATTATTTAACAACATATTATACTGATCATCATACTAGCCTATAAATTATACTGTCCATGTTCTGAGGATAATTTAATTAATGGGATAAAACATCTATCGTTCTGTGACCATAGCCTTCAAAATTGTAGTTTTAAAGACATTGCTTCTGAACTTGCTCCAGGCCTCCCCTAACTATAGATTTCTTAAAACATTCCTTCTTATCCTGTGTGCCCCCTGTGATGACTTTTGCAATTATTTATTATTGTCTATCTGGTTTATTTTAGCCCTTTAAGGAGATGAATTACATTGGTCTTGATCACTTTTATACTTTCATGGCTGACCCTGTCCTTAGCCCTAGTAGTTGAATAAATATGCCCATGGCAAATATTTGCATGGGATATACACATGGAAAAGGCACAACAGTATTCTGTGGGAACTAATAGTTTAATGGTTGGTTTAGTTAAAGTAGTTATTTATAGCATTTGAATTGGGAAAACTTCAGTCAAGGTCAAAATTCCACGCTTTGGGAGAGCAAAGCACATGACTATATTTACTTTAATTGTGTAAGTTTGGCTTGCCAAAAAAAAGTTTTTGTAAACATGACATTAAACCTTATTAATATTAATATGAAACGTTGGCAAGAGTCTGTTTAAAAGTTTATGGTTTTAGCCTTAAAGCACTTTTATTAGTGTGAAAAAAATTTGTTCCAGAGTTATCTTTTTGTTTCAAGTCCAGAATTTTATAATCCGGATTGCTCAATACACTTTTAACAAAACATTTTACTTTTATACAGATCACATGATCTATTTTATGATGTATTCATGTTAAGCAGCTTCAGGCAACTCAATTAAGTTGTGTACTCAACTGAATGAGAGAACAATGTTTGTATTTAAAAAATATTTCAGTAATGATTGTCAGTGATCATGTGTTCTTAATCTATATGTAGGCTATAATATTTTTATTTCTTTAACTATAGGTTCTTTCACTTTAAATCTTTTCCAGCCTCTTTATAAGCTAGCCTATTTTGACGTGCAGTTATGATATATTTTCTATAAATATTGAAGAATTTATGAAATTGTGTAAATGTAGTAAATTCCTAATAATTTATATAGCAAGTGAAGTCTCTTAAATGGGAAGCTGAAGAC